ATCTATTTGTAAGAACACCGTGTCCTGCTCAGATCATATTTATAACCAACAAAATAAATCACCAGTTTTTTTTTCTAAAGGCCAGAAAGCTTTTCTCGTTTTCTCATCAATGGTCTTGGCCTGAATTAAGCCAGCCACTAGGGTACACGAAGCCGTGTTTATAGTGCCGGTCCCAAGCCCGGATAAATGGTGAGGGTTGCGTCAGGAAGGGCATCCGGCGTAAAACGTTTAGCTAAATCAAATATGCAGATCAATAAAACGATTTCTATACCGGATCGGTCGAGGCCCGGGTTAACAACGACCGCCAACAGTGCCGTTGACCAACAGGGCACTGATGGAAATTGGACTACTGTTGGTCAGAGACAGAGTCAGAGACAGAGAAGAAGAGGAGGGCGTTTGGTTAGGAGAAAAAGAGAAAAGATGAAGAATAGAAGTGTTAGTCTGAAGTTTGGAACTTTGAATGTAGGTACAATGACAGGGAAAAGTAGAGAAATAGCTGATGTGATGGAGAGAAGAAGAGTAGATATTTTGTGTGTGCAGGAGACCAGGTGGAAGGGCAGTAAGGCTAGAAACATTGGAGGAGGCTACAAACTGTTTTATCATGGTTCAGATGGGAAGAGAAATGGAGTAGGGGTGATCCTAAAGGAAGAATATGTAAGAAATGTGGTAGAGGTGAAAAGAGAGTCAGACAGGTTGATGTGTGTGAAGGTAGAAGTAGAAGGAGAGATGATTAATGTTGTTAGTGGTTATGCCCCACAGGTGGGCTGTGAGTTGGAAGAAAAGGAGAAGTTCTGGAAGGAGCTAGATTGGATGGTAGAGAGTATCCCCAGGAGAGAGAGAGTGGTGATTGGAGCAGACCTAAATGGTCATGTAGGGGAAGGGAACAGAGGAGATGAGGAAGTGATAGGCAGGTTTGGTGTTAGGGAGAGAAACGTAGAAGGACAGGCAGTGGTAGATTTTGCAAAGAGAATGGAAATGGCTGTGGTAAACACATATTTCCAAAAGAAAGAGGAACATAGGGTGACTTACAAGAGTGGAGGCAGGTCCACACAGATAGATTATATTCTATGTAGAAGATGTAATCTGAGGGAGATTAGAGACTGTAAGGTGGTGGCAGGTGAGAGTGTAGCCAAACAACATCGGATGGTAGTGTGTAAAATGACGATGGAGGTGACAAAAAGGAAGAGAGTGAAGACAGAGCAGAAGATCAAGTGGTGGAAACTAAGGAAAGAGACATGTTGTGAAGACTTCAGGAAGGAAGTAAGGGCAGTTCTGGGTAGTGTTGAGATATTCCCAGATGATTGGGAGACTACAGCTGCAGTGATGAGGGAGACAGGTAGGAAGGTGCTAGGTATGTCCTCTGGGCAGAGAAAGGAGGACAAAGAGACCTGGTGGTGGAATGAGGAGATCCAGGAGAGTGTGCAGAGAAAGAGATTAGCGAAGAAGAGATGGGACAGTGACAGAACAGAAGAGAACAGACTGGAGTACAAAGAGAGGACAAGGGAGGTGAAGAGGGAAGTGGCCAAGGCCAAACAAAAGGCATATGAGGAGTTGTATGAGAGTTTGGAAACAAAGGAAGGAGAAAAGGAGTTGTATAGATTGGCGAGACAGAGAAATCAAGCTGGGAAGGATGTGCAGCAGGTGAGGTTGATTAAGGACAGAGAGGGGAATGTGATCACAAGTGAGGAAAGTGTGCTGAGAAGATGGAAGGAATACTTTGAGGAGTTGTTAAATGAGGAAAATGAAAGGGAAAGTAGAAACGAGGAGCCAGAGACTAGTAGGAAGAAGGTAGATCAGGTTAGAAAGGATGAAGTTAGAAAAGCCCTGAAGAGGATGAAGAGTGGAAAGTCAGTTGGTCCTGATGACATACCAGTGGAAGTATGGAAGTGTTTAGGAGAAGTGGCAGTAAATTTCCTGACTGGTTTGTTTAACAGAATTTTAGAGACTGGCAAGATGCCTGATGAGTGGAGAAAAAGTGTTCTGGTGCCAATTCATAAGAAGGGTGATGCACAGAGTTGTAACAACTACAGAGGGATAAAGTTGATGAGCCATACAATGAAGATTTAGGAAAGAGTAGTTGAAGCTAGGTTGAGGCAGGAAGTGGAGATTTGTGAACAACAGTATGGTTTCATGCCTAGGAAGAGTACCACAGATGCAATATTTGCCTTGAGGATGTTGATGGAGAAGTACAGGGAAGGTCAGAAGGAGCTGCATTGTGTATTTGTAGATCTAGAAAAGGCATATGACAAAGTGCCAAGGGAGGAATTGTGGTTTTGTATGAGGAAGTCAGGAGTGGCAGAGAAGTATGTTAGTTTGGTGCAGGACATGTATGAGAATAGTACAACAGTAGTGAGGTGCGCTGTTGGGAGGACAGAAGACTTCAAAGTGGAGGTGGGACTACATCAAGGATCGGCCCTGAGCCCCTTCTTGTTTGCTGTGGTGATGGACAGATTGACAGATGAGGTCAGACAGGAGTCCCCATGGACTATGTTGTTTGCAGATGACATTGTGATCTGTAGTGAGAGTAGGCAGCAGCTAGAAGAGAACCTAGAGAGGTGGAGGTTTGCACTAGAAAGAAGAGGAATGAAGGTCAGTCGTAGCAAGACAGAGTACATGTGTGTAAACGAAAGGGAGAACAGTGAAATAGTGAGGTTACAAGAAGCAGAGGTGGTAAAGGTGCAGGAGTTTAGGTGCTTAGGATCAACTGTTCAGAGCAGTGGAGACTGTGATAGAAGAGTGATAGACGGTGGTGAGACCAGCCATGATGTATGGTTTAGAGACACTAGCAATAGGCAAAAGACAGGAGGCAGAGCTGGAGGTAGCAGAGTTAAAGATGCTAAGATTCTCTTTAGGAGTGACAAGGATGGAAGGATCAGGAATGAGGTCATTAGAGGGACAACACAGACAGGAAGGTTTAGAGAAAAAGCTAGAGAAGTAAGATTTGGACATGTGCAGAGGAGGGACAGTGGATATATTGGTAGACGAATGTTAGAGATGAAGCTACCAGGTAGGAGACAAAGAGGAGATATATGGATGCAGTGAGGGAGGACATGAAGATAGTTGGAGTCAGAGTAGAAGATGCAGAGAACATGCTGGGAGAGATGGAAAACAATGATTTGCTGTGGCAACCCCTGAAAAAGGGACAAGCCGAAAAAAGAAAAAGGTGGGTTTTTTTCTTGTGTCCTAAAGGTAGCTTAATATCATGGCAACATTTATTTCCTTATATAGATTTTGAGGAATATGTATAAATACACAGTGGGTACGGAAAGTATTCAGACCCCAATTTTTTTACTCTGTTATATTGCAGCTAATTTGCTAAAATCATTTAAGTTCATTTTTTCCTCAATGTACACACAGCACCCTATATTGACAGAAAAACACAGAATTGTTTACATTTTTGCAAATGTATTAAACAAGAAAAACTGAAATATCACATGGTCATAAGTATTCAGACCCTTTGCTCAGTATTTAGTAGAAGCACCCTTTTGAGCTAATACAGCCATGAGTCTTTTGGGAATGATGTAACAAGTTTTTCACACCTGGATTTGGGGATCCTCTGCCATTCCTCCATGCAGATCCACTCCAGTTCTGACAGGTTGGATGGTGAACGTTGGTGGACAGCCATTTTCAGGTCTCTCCGGAGATGCTCAATTGGGTTTAAGTCAGGGCTCTGGCTGGGCCATTCAAGAACAGTCACAGAGTTGTTGTGAAGCCACTCCTTTGTTATTTTAGCAGTGTGCTTAGGTTCATTGTCTTATTGGAAGTTGAACCTTCGGCCCAGTCTGAGGTCCTGAGCACTCTGGAAAAGGTTTTCGTCCAGGATATCCCTGTACTTGGCCACATTAATCTTTTCTCCAATTGCCACCACACATCCATTCTCCACACGTACCGCTTAGAATTTAGGCCAAAAGGTCAGACCAGAAAATCTGATATCCACCATCTTGGAGTCCTTCAGGTGTTTTTTTTTTTAGCAAACTCCATGTTGGGCTTTTATGTGTCTTGCACTGAGGAGAGGCTTCCGTCGGGCCACTCTGTCATAAAGCCCCAACTGGTGGAGGGCTGCAGTGATGGTTGACTTTCTACAACTTTCTCCCATTTCCCGACTGCATCTCTGGAGCTCAGCCACAGTGATCTTTGGGTTCTTCTTTACCTCTCTCACCAAGGCTCTTCTTCCCTGATTGCTCAGTTTGGCTGGACAGCCAGCTCTAGGAAGGGTTCTGGTCATCCCAAACGTCTTCTATTTAAGGATCATGGAGGCCACTGTGTTCTTAGGAACCTTAAGTGCAGCAGAATTCTTTTGTAACCTTGGCCAGATCTGTGCCTTGCCACAATTCTGTCTCTGAGCTCTTTAGGCAGTTCCACTGACCTCATGATTTCCATTTGCTCTGACATGCACTGTGAGTTGTAAGGTCTTATATAGACAGGCGTGTGGCTTTCCTAATCAAACTAGACTACAATGAAGGTGTAGAACCATCTCAAGGATGATCAGAAGAAATGGACAGCACCTGAGTTAAATAAATGAGCGTCACAGCAAAGGGTCTGAATACTTATGACCATGTGATATTTCAGTTTTTCTTTTTTAATACATCTGCAAAAATGTCAACAATTCTGTTTTTCTGTCTATATGGGGTGCTGTGTGTACATTTATAAAGAAAAAAATGAACGTAAATAATTTTAGCAAATGGCTGCAATATAAGTATGAGTGAAAAATTTAAGGGGGTCTGAATACTTTCTGTACCCACTGTATGTGTGTATATACATACTGTATAGACAAATAGGAAGAGCCATTGGATTTCACAATACATTGATTGAGAAACAATAGATAGCTTTATAGGTGCATTCATGTAAAGCTAAGTATTCAAAGGTCAGAAAGGTCAAAAACCTAGGATTACTGGTTATATAACGTGGATCAGATAATGTATCCTATGATAGGATCTAAAGTAAATTATGGTTAGTATTTAATTCAGAACAAAGAATAAAACATCGTAGAGACAGAAACAGTGGTGCCAGAACACAATTGCAATCTTTATTTCAAACTTTGAAAAAGGCATTGTGGATCTTTAAAGCTTGTATGTTGTTGAAGCCCTTATTTCTCTCAATAAAAAAGGCTAAAAAAAACAGAATAGCACAGTTGCTCTCTTTTAACTGCCTGTTAGTGCCGAGTTAAATACTGTAACCTGTCTCCTTTCATGTTTAAACACGATGCCACTGTAGCAATAAATAAAATAATCTCCCAAGGTTCCTTTTTAAAATTCCAGAAATACATTGCACCTGTCAAAACACTGGGAACCATAATGTATAGAACATCCAGCTGCACAAGTGAATGTAACAGTCTAAAAATGGACTTGGTCATTTGGAGGGTTGAAGATGTCAGCAGGAATGGATCCTTAAAGCTATCATCTTTCCAGTCTATGTGCAGGGGGAGCTCGTCAGGTTGCTCCACATAAAAAACCAGGGGGTTGCTAATGTTGGACAGCTTGGAATGTGTCACTGCTGCTGGGATTCACTTGAGCTCATTAAGATGCAGCTGCCATACGGATTCTTTCTGCGGGGAACAGCAAAACGTTCTTAGCTGCTTTGATAGTGTTCTTCATGAGCATGGCCACAGTCATGGGTCCAACACCTCCTGGTACTGGAGTGATGAAGCCCGCCATTTGTCTCACACCTGGGTTGGGACAAAAAAAAAAAAAAAAAAACAACAACAAAAGGACATTAAAAGACACTCAAAGCAACAGGTTGTTCTCTACAATCACACTCTTGGTTCAGTCTGGGCCTGCCTTCAAAATCAACATCTCCAACCAATCTGCTCTTTCCACTGACTGGGTCTGTTACTCTGTTTATTCCAACATCAATCACCGCTGCTCCCTCTTTAATCATGTCGGCTGTGATTAGGTTTGGAATCCCTAAAAGTTCAACAACAAAAGTTAAACCACAGAACTACACCAGTCTGTTTGACAAACCGATGACCACGACAATTATAGACACAAACCTGCAGCAGCCACAACAATGTCTGCGATCTTAGTGTGTTGCCGGAGTTGATCCTTTGGAGTGTAACGGTGAGTAATTGTTACAGTGGCATCACCTGGAACAGATGTATGCTTACTTCATTTGATTCCAATCAAACATTAATTATAATCACTTACCGTATTTTCCAGACTATAAGCCGCTACTTTTTTCCCACGCTTTGAACCATGCGGCTTATATAAAGATGCAGCTTTTCTATGGATTTTTCTTCAGGACGCCCCCTTGCTAGAACGCCAGGGGAGCGTTCTAGCAGG